ACATCTGGCACATTTTCAAATCTAGATTGCAGCTTTTTGAGATCAAAAAGTCAAACCGAAGTTCTGAATTAAGAGTAATAATGACTCAATCACAAAAGAATATAATGTTTTATAAGTCAACTTATAAAATCTTATAAAAAGTAGTTATTCTCAAAACAAATCTTATAAACCCAAAACAAGGAGATTCATAAAGCAATCTCTAGTGAATTTATTGAAGTTTTAAATTGCAGGTAACCGTATCTAATGTACATTATAAACAATTTTTAAAGCAATTATCAAACAGAAATCTTATTACAGAAACATTATTTCAGAACCATAGCCATTTATTGATTTTTTTTAATTGAGTAAATGCTTTTGATTGCATTTAATTGTTATATCATTCATTGTAATTTTTTTTTATTAACCGTTATTCTCAACCATATAAAATGTTTCATTTTCTTTATTTTAAAGTTTTTTGACCAAAATCTTTATTTATATGTTACAGTAATAATTGCTCAATTTGTAACTTCCAATTAAAAGCTGTGTTGTAAATCATTGAACTATTATATTTTTTTTTTACCTTACATTTTGCTTCAAGCTTCTCAAATACATCCAATTTCTTTAAATCTACAAAACAAAACATAAACTTGAGATTTTTGTAAGTATCAATATATATTATGACATATATAACAATATTTCAATATTACATGATTCTAAAAAATTCTAAAACATATAATAATTTGAACGGAGAGAATATATCATTAGTAAAAAAATACTAAAACATACAAATTTACAAACTTACATATATGTAGATAAATATTCTAAATTATTTATATTCTATCAATTTTATATAAGAAACAACAATCATATCCCAATCAATTATTTTAAGTATCATAGAAAATCATTGAATTGTTAATTTTTTTTACCTTACATTTTGCTTCAAGTTTCTCAAACATATCCAATTCATGGAAAAAACCTACAAAACAAAAGAAATTGAATATCTTTCAAGTTTATATTGGAAATAATCAAAATCATTTCTAAAGTTGTGTGTGATGTGGTGTGATAGAAGAAAGAATCTTGCTACTTAGAAAACTATAAAAGTTATATGGGTTTAGCTGTTTTAAATAAATGGATATGTTACAAAAAATAAATGCTTGGCTATTAAGATTCAATTAAAAATGAGCCATTATTATTGTTGAATCATACGTTAAAAAATGCATAAAGGTAGTAGAAATTTTTATTATGATTTAATGTCTTTTTATTGTACAAAATTAATGAAGTGTTATTATGATTTTTTTTCCTTTTAATAAATTTGACTTATACATCATATATTGTGGATATATTTGATGGAGTGATTTATTTGTTTTTGCTAAATTTGGTAACTATTGAAAATTATATTGATGGGGTTATTTTAATGTTCTCAATGAATTAATTTTTAAATATAATAATAAGTGGAAAAATTTAAGTTGGTGTACTAATTATTTTTTTTTGGAAAATAGTTTTGTATAAATATGTTGATAGTTTGATGTGTCGTTTTTTTTTGGCTCAAATATATTAATTAATGATTAATGAGTGGAAAAATTAAAAGAAAGATGCTATAGATGTTACTACTTTTTGCTTGAATGAATTTAATATAGTTTAATGTGTAGTTTAAATGAAATAAAATTAAATAATTAATCATATAAATATTATTTATTGATAGAATAAAAATACATTAAAAACATATATATATATATATAAATTATTTAATTTACATTTAGCTATATTAAAATAAAATTAAAACATAGATTTAAAATAAATCAAATTTAAATTTATTAAAATATAGTGATTATTTTTTCATTTTTTGTTTATGATTTAATTATTTTTAAACTAACAAAAATAAATCAATCAATAAAAATAAAAAATATTTTGAAACCAAAACTAAAAATAATAATTAAAACAAATTCTAGCAACTGAAGAATAGTAAACAAATAATATAAAATCACAAGACCCAAAAATAAATAATGATTAATCGAGAAGATAATGGAATATCAAAATTAGAGAGAAAAATGATACAAAAAATATATGGTAACAAATAAATATACAAAATGTTTAAGGCACTGACTTGAAAAATAGATTTAATGAAATATATTTAATAACAAAATATGAAAATAAAAATTGAGAAAGTTTAATTGTTATGTGAGGGTTGGAATGAAAAAAATTCAGAAAAATATATGAAAGAGGTTACTAAGATTTAAAAAAATTTAAAATAGTATTATGAGGTTAAAACTGAAACCAATATATTTGATAAAATCAATAAAACTAAAGAAAATCTATTAAACAACATAATTAGATATAAACTATCTAATTTATATTTAAATATGTTTAATTAAAAATATTAAAACATAAAATTAGAATAAATAATTTAAATTTTTTAAATTATAGTGATTGTCATTTTATTTTATTTTCATGTGATTTAATTGTCATCATTGAGCTACAAAGATAACTAAATTGACAAAAATGAAGAAAAGAACAAGTTTTAAGACAAAAAGAAAATAATAACAAAAGTCAAAAAGATTTTCAAGCAGCTTGAAGAATAAAAAAAAGATCTATAAAAATACAACACACAAAAAAACAATTAATAAATAATCAAGAAAATAAGAAAATATCAATATATAGAAAAAGAAGAATATGACAACAAATAAATATACTTGGAAAGATGAATTCAATAAAATATGTAATAACAAAAAACTGTTATATGAGAACTTAAATGAAAAATTTTGAAAAAAATAGATGAATAAAATGACTAAAATCATAAAAACACAAAATGATAAAAAAACCAGTTATGAGGTTAAAACTAAAAACATATATTTTTTTAAAAAAATAACTAAATAATAACAAATAAGAGCAATAATTTTTTAACACCAAAAAATCAATAAAGAATTGAAAAATATGAAGATATCAAAAATAGAAACAAATAAAAAAGAAGAGAAGAAAAGAAAAGAAAATAATATATATGGCAATAATTTTTAAAGATATCAGTTGGAAAGATTGATTGAATGACATATGTTTAATAAGAAAACATGAAAATGATAAATTGAGAAAGTCAAAATTGTTGTTAGTCAGGATTTTGACGAAAAATTAAAAAAATAACATATAAAAGAGGTTATTAAATTTTAAAAATAATATATGTACGTTGAGAGAGTTAAATATTATCTTTAAATCAAAATTTAGATAAAAAACTCGAAATTTGGATGAACAAACTAAAAAAAAAAATTATGAATAGAAAGATTACTAGATTTATGAAAGAAAAAACAAATTTTACAAAAATGAAAAATTGATAATTTAAATAAAAAACTAAAACATAATAAAACAAGATCCATGTGTAACACTGATTCTCTCCTAATAATAATAAGTGGAGAAATTTAAGCTGGTGTACTAATTTTTTTTTTGGAAAAAAGTTTTGTATAAATATGTTGATGGTTTGATGTGTCGTTTTTTTTTTGGTCAAAGTTGATGATTAATGATTAATGAGTGGAATAATTAAGAGAAAGATGCTATAGATGTTACTATTTTTTGTTTGAATGAATTTAATATAATTTGATGTGTAGTTTAAATGAAATAAAATTATTTTTTATTTTAAAAAAAATAGAAATGCCAAGTGGTCTAATAGGGAGAGAGTGAAATCATTCTTTTATATATATAAATTTTTGATTGTAGAGGGATGTTTTTAAAAAAGTTTTTGATTGTAGAGGAACTATTGAAAGAAGCTATGGATTTACTCATTAATCTCATCAAGATTTTTCTGTTGATGAAATGTCATAATCCGTTGAGCATGACGGTTTTATCGAGCACTATTTCGGCGACATATAAATTTTTTTCTTCTTGCCCACAATCTCCATAGCAAGCACGCCAAAACAACATAGAAGAAGAGTTATCAAAGAAATTAAAATGGAAAATTCTCGACGAGGAATAATAATTATTATTCTTCATTTTGTGTTTTTCCTCTAATTTTTTTAATAAATTTTGCTCATATTTTGCTTATATTTTGCCAAATCACATATATATATATATATCCATTTTGCTAATTTATTAATACAAAATTAATAATGTCGATATTAAATATTTCTTATTTTAATTAATAAAACTTTTTTTTATTCCATCCATAATCATCAAACAATAAAATACTTTCAAATGATGCTATATCAAAAATTTCAGATAATTTCATTTATGAAAATGATATGCATTGAACTTGTTAAGATACATAATTTCTGAATATCATAGTAAAAATGTATGTTATTAGCCTTGTACTTTCAATTAACAAGGATAAAATCAAATAGTATTCTATGAAAACTAAAATGACCATTATTACAGTCAAAACTAATAGTACTTTCGACAAAAATGTATTCAATTAAAACCATTATTACATCAAGTGCATCAGTGTTTTGAAATAGAATCAAAAGAGAATATAGGAATCTAAAGAATTAAAAAAACTATACATTATACATTAATCTCTAGTAGTGAACTATAACATCAGATTTTCCATATAGTCTTGATTGCCAAGAAGTCAGATGGTGCTTAACCGGTTTCTAACTGTTTTGTCGATATGTTTTATCAGCCTCATCGGTGAAGAAGAGTCTTTGCTGTGACTTCTTCCATTCCTCTCCCTCCAAAGACCATACATTTTTGCTTGAATTGTGTATCAGACAACAAACAGAGCGATCTTGTTCTGTGAGGAGTCCTTTGCGATTCTCATCAGATCATCCCAATTTGTTGTGAACTTTTCTTTGAGAATGCCCTTAGTCAGTGCTATCCATTTATGGGATGAATATGGGCAAGTGAAGAACAAATGAACTTATTAACAAACCCAAAGAGTTTCTATTATAAAACAAAGCTTAGACCATTATCAACGCTACATACGCAGATGGATATCTAAATTAATTTTTTATTATTAAAATGAGTCTCACATGCTAACGGTTTTTGATTTTTATAGTGAATCCCACGTACTTTACATCATTTTAATAATAAAAAAATATTAACAGACTCTATAAAAACTTGCGATGATCAGATCTCAAAGTCCGAATCTTTATAAACTCATACAAATATACTCATAGATCATAATTTTTCAACAATGATGGACAAACTTGCAACATATATAAAACTCACACGATCTTGCTAATATCTTCAATGAAAGCATCAATGTTAACATGAGAAGAACCACTTTTTGCAACCGCTCTTCGACAAATCTCACTAAGATCACAAACCCTTCTTCTCATCTCTTTCCCTTCTTCACTCTCACCATCCATAAACCTCTTCACCAATCCCTTGATCTCGTCTCTCTTTATCAACACTTCTGCATTCTTCTTGCTCCTAATCCTCATCCCGATCCTCCACTCATCAACGATCATCTTCGCATTCAAAGATTGATCCCAAAACAACGGAAACGTCAGCATCGGTTTTCCAGAATATATCCCTTCCATTGTCGAGTTATACCCACAATGTGTCCAAAACCCACCTACCGATTCGTGACACAGCACACGAAGCTGATCGCACCAGCTCACCACAAGACCTTGACTGCCTTCAAGAGCCTCCTTTAACTTTGACTCACCTCCACGAGCCACCCAAATGAACCTGACTCTGCTCTCTCTCACACCTTCCACTATCTCCTCCATCTGAGCTTCAGAGACTGAAAGAAAACTCCCCTGAGATATGTAAAGCACGGAGCTTTTCGGTTGCAATTCAAGCCACTTGATGTAATCGGGCTCGCTGCGGTTATTTACTTCGTCGAAAGGTATTAACGGACCGGTGGAGTAGACCGGGAAACCAAACTTGGATTTGAAAAAGTCGATGGCTTTTGGTTCCAGCTCGTAAACAGATGGGAAGAGGAGATACTTAGCCTTGGAGAGCTGATCGAAACACGGCTTGAATCTATTGAAAGCTTGGTGGGTGAAGCCGTGGGAGATCTGAGGCAGGTCACCGAGCCGCGTCGGTGATAAACCGGGAATGTAATCAACGATTTCGTCTTCTTTTGATCCTAGAAACAAACCCAGATTCAAGAATTACGAACTATCGCTAAAACATATGCAAAGTTTCTATCTTTCGATGCCAATTACAGTTAAAAGGGAGACTTTTTGCTGTTTGAAAATGAAAAGTTGAGTGCTTTTCACCTGATGGTTCGATCGGAAAATGGCCGTGAGTTTGGAGTAGATCGGATTGGAGGAAGAGGGAGAGAATTGTGGCCGACGTAGTCCACAAAGATGCCACCGGAATATTCCTTCGTGTGCCGACACTCACCGCCCAAAGGACGTTTGTATCGGCGATGATTACGGTGGGAGACGGCGAGTTTAGGCGGTCAAGAAGACGCTCGAAGGGTTCCTCTAATCTGGTGTGAACGGCGTCGATGAAGCCGAGGAAGTCGTTGGCTCGGCCGAGCTCGGAGGGGATGAGGTTGGGGAGAGTGGCGAATTGGATACGGTCGGGTTTCGGGTCGGATCCTATGAGCCCGAGCCATTCTTCAGTGACGACGAATGTGACGTGGAGGTTTGGGTCTCGCAGGACGAGGCGTTTGCAGAGGTTCATCATTGGGTTGATGTGGCCTCTTCCTGGCCAAGGCATGGCGACCACGTGGCGGAATCTGACTGGCTGAGGTTTAGTTTGATCCATGGGTGAAGAAGATTGTGTAGACTGAGAAGCTTGAAGAGGATTTGTGTTCCCGACACAAACTTTTTTGCTGTTATTATCGTTTGCTGTTAGGTAGTTGTAGCTAATCATAGTCTTTGTTGTTTTGAAACGTTTTTGTTCTGTCTTTTTTTTTTTTATAGAAATGAGCCTAAGCCAGCAAGCGAAACAGTAGTTTTGTGAAGAGTGATAAGATTCATGTCACGGGTCGAGATTTTTGTTCTGTTTACGATCCTAAAGAAGGTATATATTTGTTGGCTTATCTTGCTTTTGCAGTTTGTAAGCCAATTCGCAGATCCGATTGATGTTAAGTGATGAGGCGACATCGTTGCTGGTACTTGTTACTTTGTTAGTCACATGCCCAAACTCGATATACAAAATAAATAATGAACTTTTATTGCCTCAAAAAGTGTGGTTGGAGAGTGGTGACCTTCTTTATGCTTTTATAGTCATCATCATATTACATAGAGAAATTGAATAAACCCCATAATTGTTTGCTTTTAAAAATGGTTAGGTGTCGGATTGTATAATCTATACTGAAAATTCTATTGTTAGGTGTCGGGTTTTGCTTCCACGCTGAGATCCAATAAAAACCAATGATCATGGGTGAATAAAAACCTACATTCACATCAATGGGTAAAGGTTTATCAGAGAGCAAGCTCAAGAAGTTCAAATTAAACACAATCGAAACGGAAGAATCTTGCCAATTAAGACGTAATTAATGAGATTTGACCATAAGAAAAGACGTTGAAAACAAGGATCCACAAGCTTATAAGGACTGCAGATAATAGACAAATCTTTTATTGATACCAAAAATACTATAGCAAAATTCTTGCATTCCTAATCATTAGTAAAATTCCAATTTCATTCCTATTTTCTTGTTTTTCCTGGTTATTCATTTGTTCATATTTGAGAATTCCTCATAATACGAAGGCTTCTAACCTTAATATTAAATTAATTATGGAACCGGATCTTGTATGCATCTATAATTTGATGTCGTCTCTTGGGAAGTTAGCATTTCCAACTCACTCGAACTCTCGTTCTAGCCAAACAAGATGAAACTTACCAGCAAACAAATGATTGAACGTCTCAGCCAGTTCCATGAGACGGTTCAAAAGCAATGGAAAGAGCTCAACGCTATTAAAACTCAACAAGTTGTCAAGAATAATACTGTAAAACCTCTATAAATTAATAATATTGGAACTGCAATATTTTATTAATTTATTGAATTATTAATTTATTGATATATAAATTAGCTCAAAAAACTAATTTAGGATCTAAGAAATGTATTAATTTATTAAGATATTAATTTATCGAGTATTAATTTATAGATGTTATACTGTACTATAAATCACAGAATACCAATCTACACAATTAGATACTCATGAGTACTTACTTTTGACAAAATTTATGGATTAAAAGTGCGAAAACTAATTTTACAACTAAAAATATATTAAAAAAAAAATAAGTAATAGATGTAAAAGCAGAGAACGTATTAGTATAGTATATACCCTAATAAACTTTTGGAGAATCTAAAAGATAAAAAGATTAAAACTAATACCCTTTCTGTTTATATTAAATGATGTTTAAGAGATTTTTTTTGTTTGTTTTCAAATAAGTGATGTTCTAATAAATTAATGCAAAATTTATTTTTTTTGTTATTTTTGACTTATTCTACAAGTTATTTTTTTATTGGTTAAAATTGATAATAAATGAGGTTTTAATATAGAGCAAAATGAGTAAATAACAGATTGACCAAATATAAATAGTATCCACCCAAACAAAAATAAAAATTTCATTAAATAAATATCCTACTGAAATGTACTCATACATCTATCAGTATCCGTATATACTCAAGATCTCAGATGCTCATTGAGATGAATCGATTCCAATAAGCTGGATCCTAAGTTACAACTCTAACAAAGACTCTTTATTTAATTTGTTTTTTGGATTATGTTTAGTGATAATGATCAGTTTGGTAACAAACAAAAAGTCACCAAATGTTTCATAAAAAAAAAAAGTCACCAAATGACAATGATTAATAAAGAATTTTTTGGTTGTGAGAAAATTGGCAATGAGCCAATGATATCTGATAGATACTTCACACTTTACAAAACAAAACAAGAAAAAAAAAAAACTCCGTACATTTATACGATATATATTTATAATGTGGGCCCCTCTCACCGATCGGCGTTTGGTTTTCTGAGTGGGCTTTTGCTTCGCTTCTTCGTTTTCTAAAGTCTCTCTCTTTATTTGCTTTTAAAAACTTAACGCTTTCTGTTCCCTAAAACCTAAAAAAAAAAAACACTCTCTTCTTCGCTAAAGCAAAAAAAAAAAACCAAAAACCCACACATGGATTCTCAGGACCACCACAACAACACACAACAATCTCCAGGTTTCTTAATCATTAACAATGTCTCTAGGGTTTTCTTCTTAAATTTCCAATTTTGGATCTTTCACGGGTTTTCTTCTTCGTTTTGTATACTTTGCTGTCTCTTGTGATTTCTGCTTTTCTCATTTTTTTATTTTGATTTGTAATTATTTTCTTACTATGTGTTAATTTTCTTGTTTTCAAATCAATGTGCATAAAAATGATATCTTTCCTTGGGTTTTCTCTTTTTTTTTTTTTGTAACTTTCTAGCAATTTTCGGGGTTTAATTGATTTTGTATTTTGTTGTTCTTCTCTTACTTTGTTGTCTCTTGTGATTTCTGCTTCTCAGATTTTGATTTTGAGTTTTAATTGTCTTTTACTGTGTGTTAATCTTCAGTCTGTTCATGTTTCAAATCATTGTACATAAAAATTATATTTTTTTTTTCTTTTTGTTTTTGTAACTTTCTAGCAAATATTTGGCTTTTGCAATAATGGCTTCTTCCTTTTGTCTTTTGATGTCTATTTGATTAATGTGTTTCGCTTTCAGAATTTTTTTTTCTTAAAAGTTTTTGGTAAACAAGTCATGTAGAATATATATCAATTTTAAGCATATGGACACTGAAGATTATGTAAACTCTGTAGGAGGCAAGAGCAATGGGGCTCATGTCTGCACTAAATGTGGTTGGAACTATCCTAATCCACATCCTAGTGCTAAAAACCGGCGTGCACACAAGAAAATTTGTGGAACCATCAAAGGATTTGAGATCGTTGATTCCGACAAGGCCAAACATAATCTTGATTTGCAGGAAGAACATTGCTTGGATGATGAGCAAAAACTTCAAAGTAAGCACATTTGTGATTTGATAGCCTGTGTCATTGTTTTTTTGTTCCTTCATTGCTAATGTATAATGTATGTTTGATGAGGTAAGGTCCAAGAGTTGTGGAGAAAGCTAATGAGAAAATTGGGGATATATCTGAAGAGGATGTGTTTGCAGATGCTGTTAGTGAATTTTCTAGATCTGACTCTTTCAAGGTAAAGGAAGAGACAGCAACAAATTGCCCCGTAAAGAGTACTAAGAATCCTGGTGAGTACTTAGAATCCCTTTTGATGCTAATCAGACTTGGTTTTATCAGTGCTATCATTAATGTGTGTGTGGTAGGTTCTAGTCATCAAGATATAACATTCTTGGTTGAGTTTCTTTTGATAGTTTTTCGAAATCTCAAATCTGTAGACTATCCGGCGCAAAGGGAATACCATTCAGTTCTCGTAGCCTTTTGTTTATTACATATCTCGGTTTTATTACCATTTGGCTTTTCATGTTCCGTGTGATGTGCCTGCTTTCTATTGATTTTATAGCTGATGAATATGGTTCTGCTCAGGTGACACTCAGCTAAACAACAGTTCGTCAACGGTCTGTATTATGAAGAGTTCTGAAGTTGTTCAAGAAAGTTGTGAAGTTCCACCCGTGGAAGTCCTTGACGTCCCAAGTTCAGTGGAAGCTTCTTCTGGTAACCAACAAGGTGGAGCACCTTCTACTGAAGGACAACAGTCTATGGCGTCTGAAACTCTGAATGAGTCATCACAGGAAGCTCAGGTCATTAACGGTGGTGTTGATGTTGGAGCAGAGACAGAATGCAAAGGAAAATTACCGGATGAATCTGATTCTAAGGTATCATTTGCATTAGGAAAGAGAGAGGATACTTCGACTTCATCATGGAATGATGAAGTGATTTACTCGGACTTGGAGGGTCCTGATGGATTTGCTTTTGAAGCAACGAGTATGGTTCATCCTGGTGATGCTGACAATATAGTCAGTGAGAATACTTCTTCGGTAGAAGCCAATGCAGCTCAAGCTATCAGCACCAGCCAATCTGCTTCTGATGGTAAACCTTTTGCAGAAAATGCTGATGTCTCCCTGCATGGAACCAAAGGCCCTGAAGGATATGAATCAAGTCATTCTGTGAACCCTTGTTTTCCTGAGACACCTGAGGCTGATACTCGGACTCAGGCAGAGAGTTTAGGCCGTCAGCCTTTAGCCTTAAGCATTGACTCCGAGGTTCCTTCATCAGACAAGCTTCTCTTGGAAGACAAAACTGAATCTCAAGGCCAAACTGCTTCGGTTGCAGTTAAGGACTTTCCCAGCGCAGAGAACATAGTGATATCTAAGAGTGACCCTGAAGATAATGAAATGAAGGATGAAGAGGGTGGATCATCTTTTAGTGGTTCCCAAGAAACTGCTGAATCAGAAACCTTGAGAGCGTCCCTACCTGCGGTAGATTCTATAGTTGCTAGCTCAAATGCTGATGTGAGCGCTAACAAAACTGGTGTTCTCATTGATCATGAGAGTGAAGTTGTTCAAGCAAATGTCGTATCTGAGGGAATCATGGGTTTTGAATCCCCTGTATCTGTTGTATTGGAGGGAGACAATGCAAGCGACCAGAGGAAACGCTCAACAAAAACATCTGAAGACTCCATCCTCCAAATCAGTTCTGAAGTCTGTAAAAGTAATGATGAAGCTCTCAGAGGGAGTAGCAAAGGGGGGCTTGTGGAGGAAAGCAGTTTCAAAAACGTAACAAATACAAAGGATGATCGTATAAGCCATTCTGGATCGACAGGCACTACACCTGAGGATTCTGTGAAGACAGCAGATCAGAAGCTGCTGGAAAGTGGAAGGACAGAGTTCAATAGAGTTGTTGGTGGCTTGGGGGTTATTCAAGCAAATGAGATTGACGGTCATGTCAAAGCACACAACTTTTATGCAGAGGTCCCTGTGACAATCGAATCAAATGATCATCGAGATTTAGGGAGGTTGCAGAATCTTTCAGAAACACACATTAGATCCCTGGTTTCCAGTCCTCTAGTCACTCGGAATAATACATCTAATGCCTTTGAATCCAACATGAAATCGGTTTCAGGTACGTATCCGATCTTGTATGAGCAAAAACCCAAAACCCTCTTCAATATAGCACTGGAGAGAGTTGCTAGTAATGTTGCAAATCCACTCATTGTAAAGTAATATTGTGTATCTTTACTAATTACTTTGTCGATTTTGATGGAACAGGAGTTAGTGATGGAGTTAACAAACCGGACAACGGATCTGAGTCATCATCACTTGCTGTATCTCAGTCGAAGAACCAAGAGATCACTATGGAGAAGACAACAAGCTGGGGCTCAGCAAAGGAGCAGCACGTTCCGCTGAAGAACCTTCTGAGTGAAGCAAGATCACCAAGGTTAGTAGCAGAGGCAAAGAAGGATCATCATGAGAGTAACATACCGAGAGTGAGTTCGATATTGGACCAAGAGACTTCCCCTGAAGACGCTCGCTGGCCCGAGAGAGGAGAGGTGAGTGAGGAGTGGAATTCACCAGCAAAGTATCCAGTGGACTTGAAGAGAGAGGAGAAGAAAGTGAAAGGAAGACCCTTTTGGGTGCCATTTGTTTGCTGTTCCTCTGTTAAGTAAAAGGCTTAGTTGTATAATTTGTAGGAAGATGAATGATTAAGAAGTTGGTAGTAGAAGACTTTTATATAGAAGCTAGTAGTTTGGTTCTTTGTAGAATTGTAGGAGCTTTTGTTACTTTATGCAGACCACTTATGGCTTTTACTTTTACCATATGAATGAACTCGTTTTTAGATGCGTTTAGATGTAAAATTTTTGTTTCTCGTAGAGATGTTTTCCATGTTTTTTTTTTCGTTTCTAATTTTGAGGTAAAGTAGTAAGTAATTTTTTGATTCAAATGAACTATGCACTGCTATGAATATAAAGAGAACCAAATATTTAACTCATTTTTTCTTTGTAAAAAAAAAAAGAAAAAGATAAATTTAGCCTAACTATTCCAATCCAAAAAGAAATTCCAGGCATTTGACCAAGAAAAATCTATTGGATTATCAGAAGAAGCATTATGCATTCTAAAATATTATTTTAATGAGACTAGGACTTAACTGTCCATGAAAATGATGAGCTTTGCTTAGCAAAGTTATGACTCGTGAAAAGGGTATTGGGTAATTGCTGGTATGTACGTGGAATATGAAATCCATTGAGGAATGCATTTCTTAAAAGAATAGGCTTTGATTTATTCAAATATATAGGCTTAACACCCATGTTCTAATCACAATATATCACAAACAATTATACAAATAACCATGCCATAAAAGACAAATTTTAGTGTTGAATTCACATGATATAATATAGTTCATAAATTGTACAAAAAATATATAATTTATAAATATACAGATATCAATAAAATGTTTAGTGTTTCATAAGCAAATCTATACACTAATTAAAATCTAACTGATATGTTCATAATTTGCATCATTTAGGTTGTATATTTCATTTTAAATCATATCTTATTTCATGCATTTTAGGTCTTTCGGGTTTGTTGTAGGACTTAGGAGTTACATTAGGTCTCAATGAGTCTTTGCATGTTTGGAGTGTTAATCAGATGTATTTGAAACTATTTGGAGTTGAAAAGGTGGATCCAGAAAAAGGAATGACGATCAGAGCTTGAAAGATGGTGAAAATGGGTTTTTGGAGGTTCTCGGCGATTCTCACGTACCGCAGGCAACTTTTATCGGCAATTTTCATGTACCGCGAGTGAGCCCCTCGGCCAAAACGCGTACCGCTGCTAAGGTTTCTCGGCCAAAATTTTTAGATAAAGACACATCTCAGAAATCGCGTTATCCGAAGGTCTTTCCGGTCGATTCAGTTGTCGGGTGCTTCATCAAAATTGGAAAGAATTAGATCATGGTTCCAGAGCAGGTGGAATCATATGATTTGGAGCCGTGAGCAGAGAGTTAAGCTTGTCGGAAGGCACGCCTGTCTCGCTGCCGTTTTGGACCGACCCGATGAGCTCCGAAGAATGCGAAAGACGATGCACTTTCAGACCGATTCAGTCTACAGGGCCTTCATCAAGATCCGAGATATTTGAGTCGTCTTTCCAGAACGTTTGAGATCATTCACGTTGGAGCTATGAGCAAGAAGATAACGTTTCTGGAATGGACGCATGTCTAGAAGCCTCTTTCTGACCGTGTCAATGCACTGCGAAAATGAGCCCTTCAGGGAACCTTCCACTTTCCAAGCGCCAAAGGTACCTTCACCAAAGTTGAAGATGTCTGAGTGTTCTGTCCACTGAAGTTGGAATCGCACCATTTGGACCAGTATCTTGGGAGTTAATCTCCCACGAATGTGAAGTGGTCCAAGGAGACCGGAAGCCTGCGAGATGGTCTTGCGACTTGGTTAACTCGCAATGCCTGAAGATTAATGCCTGGGGGTTGAGCTGCGTGTTGAGATGTGCGAGTAAGATATCACTGGGTAAGATCTAAGGTTCCCGAGCGAGAAAAATACTAAGTCAACAACCGTGCGACTTGAGCATGCGAGTAGGCCAAGCTTGGAACTGAGCCGTATGAAAACTCGCAATTTACACCGATTTGAGCATGCGACTTGGGAGTGATGGAGATCATCCCGCACATATCTCTGAAGGCCCCTGCTACATGGTCGTGCGAGTTAAGGAGCAAAGAGAACTGAACCGCATGAAGGTTCGCAAATCACACCGAGAGAGTAATGCGGCTGAGCTTACATGGGTTCTATCTCGTTCAAGCTTCTTTCTTTGGCTGTGCGAGTTAGGCATGCGACTTGGGACTAAAGGAGGACCAATTCGCACACAAGAAGGCTGAAACGCACAAAGACTCGCAGAACACACCTAGATGGGCATGCGGCTGAGACTAAAGGACTTAAAGCTCACAAGACTGCTTTTTTGGCTGTGCGACTTGGGCATGCGACTTGGGAGGCTCCTGACCAACTCGCACACTCGTCATTTTATCCATTTTAAGCCGGGTCAGGACCCGGTTTGTTCCAAGCTGACCCGGTCCGTTTTAAAGACCTATATATATTGTTTTCAGGGTTTTACCCCAAGAACTTAAGCTTTATTCCATATTCTCTTTGCCTCTTTTGTGTAAGAAAACTTCTTTTGAAGAGAAATATCTGATTTTGGGTGTTTTAATCAAGAGATTTTGAGAGATCTTGTGTTTAAAGCTGCAAATCCATCATTATCTATCTTCTCCTTCTACATTTTTCATCATTAATCATGCCAATCTTCTCAACTTGCAAAGGTTTAAGAGAGATTAGCATGATTAGTGAGTTATCCCCATATTAAGGTCTTAGATATGTAGATTAGGGTGCTTAGGTGGTAGATTAGTGAGCTTAGGGGTTAGATCATTCATATTCCATTCTCTACAACCTGTTCTTAATGCTAGATCCATACACATCATATGTGGTCTAGATTCTGGGCATTTCATGCACCAAAAGTGTTTGATGAAATGCCTGAACCAAAGTTGTTAGAGGTTTAAGTATTATTCATCATGTGAATGATTGTTTATATGCTTAAATGACAGATTAAACTGGTTCTTAATGCTTGCTGATTCATGTTTCACTAATGATGATTAGGTTAGAAACTGTTTTAGCATAGAAGTTAATATCTTCATGAGAGGATTAGCTTAATTAATGATGTTTAAGTTGAATGGTTTGCTTGATCACATGATTCATTAGCTCACTAGTTTAACACTAAAGGCACCCTAATCTACTATCATGTCTAAGACCTTTCTCATCATCATATATACATTCTCATCTCATTTAGCTTACTTGCTTGCTTGTTTAAGTTGATCATTAGCTCTAATTCTTGTTTTAAGTTCTTAGGTGTCATTAATCATCAAAACCTCACTCATTTGGCTTGAATTAAGAACTGATCCTGCATCTTAGTGTCTACACATGATGGATTGATACCATTTGTATTGCAAAGTGAAAAAAGGGATTGATAACCCCTCATTTAGAGCCTTGAAAACTCTAAGTTATCAATTGGCGCCGTTGCCAAAGTGTGATAGCATTAAGATTGTGCCATTTCTTGAGATCAAGCATTTTCTTTTGTGTTTTCTAATTTCTTCCAAGTTCTGGTTGTGAGAGTCAGGTGCATGAACACCAGGTCCAGATCAAGAAGCTGTGGTCCACCTTTCCCCTTAAACGACAACATTAATCTTTTGGTTCCAAGGAAGAGAAGGGATAGGCGTGGAAGACAGATTGATCAGGCTGATATGGAAGATCAAAGACAGCATGTAGTTGACATTGAGCAACCGGCTCAGGAGCAACAGGCTCAGGGTAATGGAGCTGGTAATGCAGCTGGTAATGGAGCTGGTCAAGGGGTACATCCGGGTAATGTTCATCAGGAACAGGAGCATCAACAGCAAGCTTATGTCCACCAGGGACAAGCTCCAGCTCATCAGCAGAGGCATCAGGCCAATGTCCAGCAAAGACAACAGGTGCACCACCAACAGCCCTTCCAACACCAGCAAAGGAGATATGAGCAGCCACAGGTCTATGTTGGAGAAAATGACAGAGCAAATGCTCATCAGTATGGAGCTGGAATTCAAGCACCATCTGTGCAAAACAACAACTTTGAAGTGAAGGCATCATTACTGAATATGGTCCAAAACTCAAAGTACCATGGATTGGCAATGGAAGATCGCTTGGAACACTTGGATCAATTTGATAAAGTGTGTGACTTGACAAAGATAAATGGAGTTTCTGAGGACAGTTTCAAACTCAGATTATTTCCCTTCAGTCTTGGTGACAAAGCTCACCAATGGAAGAAGAACCTCCCAAGAGGCTCTATTCAGACCTGGGAGCAATGCAAGCAGGCATTTCTCTCTAAGTTCTTCTCCACCTCCAGAATAGCTAAATTGAGAAACCAAATCTCTAGCTTCACTCAACACAGCAATGAGAGTTTTGGTGAAGCATATGAGAGATTCAGGAGCTACACCAACCAATGCCCATACCATGGGTTTAGTGAGGCTTCACTTCTCAGCACACTTTATAGAGGGGCTCTTCCCAAGATTAGAAACCAGCTGGATACTGCCTCCAATGGAAACTTTCTGGGAAAGGAGATTCATGCTGCTTTAGAGCTGGTTGAGAACCTAGCAATGAGCAATGATACATATGGAGAAGACTTTGATAGAGCCAATAGGAGTGAGAGTTCAAGCAGGGATCAAAGGTATGAGAAGGACTTTAAAACACTTGAAAGCAAGCTGGACAAGGTGTTATTGGCCACTCAAAAACCAATGCACTTTGTAAGAGAGTATGAGGAACCTTCTCAAATCTTTGAGAACATCGATGAAGAGGGTCTTACTCAGAAAGAGCTTAACTACATTGGGAATCAGAGGTTCCAAAGATATCAGTATGGAAATGCCAATCAGAACCTCTCTTACAGAAATCCCAATGTAGCAAACCCACAAGACCAAGTCTACCCTACTTCTCAAGCTCCACAGAACTTTGTTCCCAAAAAAAACTTTCAAAGGTCTTTCCAACCAAAGAATCAGTTTGCTCAGAATCAGGGTTTCAGTCAGCAACAACAACCATTTCAGGGTTCTTGTTTCAGTTCACAGCAGCAGCCAAAGGCACCACCAGGGTTTGGTCCACCACAGTTCCAACAACAAGCGCCGGCTCAACATCAGTTTCAGCCAACACCGGTTCAGCAGCAGCCACAGATGGGGTCAGATATGGTTGGGATTCTGCAACAGCTGCTTCAGGGTCAACAGGTATTTGCAAGCCAGTATGCATCCATGCAGCAGGACATCAAGGAATTGAAGCAAAACCAGGCATCTAGCTCAAGGAACCAAGGC